ACCTCCATATGAGAACCACGGGCCTAAACCGTTCACTTGTCGTTACATGTTTGCAGCAAGCTTTTGACTGAAAAATCTTATTATGCAACCAAGATGTTGAGACATGACATTCTTGATATTGATTTCAGTTTGCCAATATAGTCTTCAAGTTAGGTGATTTTTTCTGCTTGAATGCAGTTTTTTGAAATTGACGGACAGTTGAGAGAGTTTCAAATCGACATTTCATCCGATGCGATGAAAAAAGCAGTGTCAACATCAGTTGATTTCATAACTAATTCGGAAGTGTTCCCAAACAAACTGACAGTTTTATATTTCAGTTCTTCGGAAACATGACCGAAAAGATCGAACAGAAAATCGCGCAAGCTTTAAGGTTTGGCGCACATGCAAGTGATTTTTGTCGTATTTCAGCTTCGTGCATTCTCGATGAGTTGAATTTATTGAATGATCCGTTGAACCCTTCTTCTAGGTATCGTCCATTAGGTTCTTACTATTAAAAGTGCACATTGATACGACACGTTTAGTTTGATCTTTAACAATCGATAATATATCGTCCAAAATCATATTGTTAGTGCAAAAGTTGGACCAAACTGGTTTATAATATTTATTCATATGATGAATGAGTCAATTTTTGTTCATAAAAAGTGATCATAAATTTGTTAAAAAGTTCACTAATTTGTTGAAAATCAGTAGGGAATTTCCTTTGAGTTTTTGTTGGAATGATGCCTGTGTATTAGATAACAGTATTAGAGGCAGTATTAGATAACTGATGGTGCTGATTATATAGCTGCATTGTGAACAGCTGTATGTCATCAACTTCTCGTGTTATTCATAAGAGTATTGTCAGTGTACACGTCTACGTATTAGATTTTATGGTTCTTGAAAACCATGTGAGTCTGATTTACTGAAGTTTGTATAACGTTTTGACAAAAGCTTTTGGTGGATTAAGATATCTCGAATTGGAAACATGTTCACGGTGTTTTAATTATGGTGTTGTGATTGTCATTCCAACAATGCCTATTTCGAAATTAATTGTGACTTTGACTTGACCGTAATCTGACTATGCTGACGAATGATGTCTCGATAAATAAGCATTTTTGATCATTACAGGAAACGGTTCTTCATCTCTTCTGGCCATTTTAGGTATAGTTAGGTCTAGTCGAGATAAGTTTCTTTTCTACCGGAATCCAAGGGTCTGCAATCGTCTAACTCCGAATTAATGACAGTGAGATAGGTAGGGGTTACAAGACGGGATTTGGCTTACGTGAAAGTGGATTACATTGATTATAAGCATATATGGATAGGGACTTGTGTGTTTATGTATAATCGGGATTGAAGCTTGGCAACCGATATATATATAT